CTTCAAGATAAACAGACTGTCCTTTAACCGAGGTTTCTAACGAAGCGCGCCTCGCAGCACACGCAGCAACGGGCTAATTGGGTCGTGTACTCAATCGGTTGTCGTGATAAACACAGTCTATGCACTCCTCGGGGGAACGCATGCTTATTGATAACAGCGTTCAGCCAACCGTTTTGGGTCCACGACGTGCGTAAACTAAACATGTAGTTGGATCACGCTTACCGGAGAGCGCATAAAGAAGCAAAGATATGAAGGAATCAATCGTATAAGCTTTGAGTCTGGGGAACATATTGTTGCTTATTATTTGATGCCACTGGTGTCTCGGGTCTCACTCCCTATAGCGCCAACCCACAGTGCGTGAATTTTGTTATCCTAATAGTATCTGTGATGGGATTGCTCCACAACGACAGCGCCAAATTGGCTCTACCTTCATGCTGCTTCTGGTGAGTTGATACCGGCTGACATGCGGTTAGTGCAACGTTTGCCTTCTGTGCGATTTCATTCCACTGACTCGCTTAAAATTAATTACACTGCAACTTGATGTCGCGATGCAAATCTGCAGTTCGCTTCATGATTTCCATACTGTAACCAAAAGAATTGCTTACTGTACTCAACTCTATGGCCGACGCTAAACAGCCGCTTCTGGAAATCTATGAGTAAGATACCCATGAGAACATGGCTGATGCGTTTTCCGTAGTTAATCAATAGTAGTTAACTCAAAGTCAGACTATCACCCATGCTTACAGAAAGGCAGTTGACAGGTGTATCGTACCATCAGGACTCGTCGGTAGTGGAAATCTCCCGGTTCCCCCAGAAACCGATATGTTGTGACTCACAGGCTAGCCAATATTGTGCTGCACATTCTCTTATGTCATTCAAGCAGAGGACTATTAGGTGGCCAAACAGAGCAAATGACTACGCACGGTGTTTCGACAGTGTGTACGGACTTCAAGCAGGACATGCAAAGAGCAGTCCAAGTATGGAACACAGCTACGATGTGAGTTGCTGTCAAACTCGGGGGGGGGGGGTCGACTGAGTGAATGGTAGTTTTAGGTTGGTAGGAAGAAAAAATCGAATATTGCAAACCATCCATGCGGAACGCATTCACATTGGTTGAGGCCAGAACGCCAAAAATGAATTGAGCAGGGTTTCAGTTATTCGAACAGATGATTAACCTACAAATAGAACCGTTTACGCTCTTAGAAAAGCAGTCTACTGGGGCTTGGCTTCCGGTTTCCGCTGTTGGATTTGGAGCCAGACAGAGCAGACCTTGCTTAGTTGTACCACTGGCAAACAGTATAAGAAGAACACAATTAGCTCCTAGACCTGTGGGTTCCCGTATATCAGGTTCGACCACTGTAAATTCCTGTACCGACGATTGAACTATTAAATGCTCCGCAAAGAATTATGAGAAATCCACCATCGCCTTCGAAAAATGACCCGATTGTGCAACTGTGGAGCGGTTAGCGTCGTATTCTTCCTCTGCACCAGTTATTTGGATACAATGGCTAGTTGCTGACCTTGTCACTCGAACGTAGCTAGACAGATTTCGCATCATCTTGATAAGGTAGCTAGTTAAAACATCCCATGAGTGTAGAGTCTGCCACAGATTCACTGAACCAGCTGTTTGTTTGCAAATAACTTCAAATTTGCAAAGATTTTACGCAACAAGCCGCGGTTACCAAGAGGAATCACCCACCCATCACTGGCATTACCGTAGAGAAAGTCAGTGCCGTGAATCGACGTGATCGCGGGTTATTCGAAAATTAGTCATTCGTCTTGAGTCACGACATATTATGTACCGAAATATAACGCTATCACCACACTGAGAACTCTGCAATTTTGTACGGTCAGCGATACTTCATAGGCACTCTCATGGGCATTCTGAATATTCACTCGCGTGCCAAACTCTTCTTAGGCGCTGAGGATGATGTTAGCATGAAAAAACTTGTGAACATCGAACGGTGTTTTCCAAAATATTCCCGTTTTGGAAAACTTTACGCACCTGCTCTGTCCTTTACAGAATGAGGTTATTGAAGGTCATGATTATGCCCAACCCAGTTGTACTGATGCTTAATTGTGAGGTGAATATATTCAGAAGAGATATGAGTAACAAACCTTCTGTAGGACATTTACGCACATAGCACATACCTAAACAAGCGTAAATGCCCCTCAGTGCACGACTCGTGATTTGACATACTTCATCAAAGTTTGCCTTTTGTGTTTAGCTGTGAACTCAGCCCCCGCTTCACACTGCACATCCCTTCTGTTTACACTGCCGCCTTCAATAGACTAGAGCTGATGTAGACGCGATAAAAGAAAGGTAATTACAGCTGTTAGCTCACTTGATTTGTTTAACAGAATGAGGGAACTCATCGTTTCTGATGTCTACTTTGAGTTCATTGTAAGGTAGGAGAAGCCAGTTATTACTCGGGAATCGGAACGAGAACCAAAACGGGATTGTAGCGAATTAACAACGGGCGCAATGAATGAGACGAGACAAGACTCTGCGAGCATTGTGGATCGAGCCGGCAGCGCACCACGAGCGGTATCTGGTAACGAGTCTGGGTCCAGAACAATGGAGGAGGTATTTGTCGAGAACGCAATGAATCAGACAAATACGCTGCTAGCGAAGCTCACAGGAGTGAACGCTGGTCGAGTGATGCAGTAACGGGAGAGCAAATCGCGAGCTTTCGAGCGACTTATGGTCGGACAGAATCTGATGCAGCAAAGCGCATATACAGGATGGAAAGATGGAGTGGTTGTCTCGAAGCCCAACTTCCTAGGCACCTGGAATGGCCCGTCACACAAATCCTCATCTGCGTTGCATCATGGGAAGGAAACACGGTCCAACTCTGTACGGGTTTGGGAGTTGTCAGTGACACGTTCTTGTGACAATACACGCTCTGCTCCCCGCCCGTGTCTTTCTCGCTACACTATGATTTCAGTATTTCACACTTTGTCTGAATAGGAAATTTTATGCAGGAACGTTCAAAGTACTATGTACCACAGACTGAATGAAGGATCAAGCAAACAAAGATTTGGTTACCAGGGAGAACTATTTTTCTGCTCTTCAATATACCCAAGGTTTCTAATGAAGCGCGCCTCGCAGCACACGCAGCAACGGGCTAATTGGGTCGTGTACTCAATCGGTTGTCGTGATAAACACAGTCTATGCACTCCTCGGGGGAAAGCATGCTTATTGATAACAGCGTTCAGCCAACCGTTTTGGGTCCACGACGTGCGTAAACTAAACATGTAGTTGGATCACGCTTACCGGAGAGCGCATAAAGAAGCAAAGATATGAAGGAATCAATCGTATAAGCTTTGAGTCTGGGGAACATATTGTTGAGTACCATATGGTGCCATTGGTGTCTCGGACATCCACCTCCTATTGTACCAGCCCTCAGCGCGCTTTGCTCGAAGCTATCCCAGACGAACGGACATTGGGAAATATCTTTCGATGATTTGTTTCGAAAAAAGCACGGTTGGCATATTTTCACCCAACCCTTTTTGGTACCAATTTCATGAACATTTGTTTACTATGAAATCATAGAGAGGCATATGATTTCAAAGGTTATTCTGCAACAATAACCCTACGATGACAGCCAGGATGATCCAGTGTTTCGCTGGATATCGTTTCATCCTCTGAAAAATCGTAGGTAACTCTCAACTTTTACATCCATTAAGTGGTTTGAACATGTAAACCTCCCACTGTAACGACTGAGAACAAAGTGTGGGTCTCCATACGGAACCATCAACGGTTTAATCAATTTGATCGTCGGAATGCGCAGTGCCCCAGATCCTCAGGCTTTTTTATCTTGATTCTTGGTGCGGCCTAGAACTCCCCACTGAGCCAAGTGGTCGTCCACAGCTGAGGAGTTCCGACAGAAAGGAATAGTTTTCGGAGGTCACCTGTAAAGTCTGAATGAGGCAAATTGCGTCGAATCAGATTCTTAATGCAAAAGCTAACTCCAGTGAATTAGACTCGCACCACCTAAAATGCGTTGGATCACCGCATGGATCATGGCTGACTAAGAATTCAGTTTGACCCAATGCTGGTGCACAACTCTCCACCGTGTCATCTGAAGACACTGTATTGGCATGAACCTCAAGCGTTAAGTGCACTTATGTCTAACTATCTTCGCCGTTTCATTACCGTTGCAGTCAACCAGCGTTAAGTGCGTATGTGCTTGATAACCCGAACCTAAGCAGTAGCCGGTCCCGCAGCCAATACCGGTCGATCAAGTAAGTTCTAGAAGAGCCATCATTTAGAGGATAATTGCAACAAACTTAACGGAATCGTCGGTTTGCCTGGTCACTGACAGGAACTGTGAACTGAATTCTTGTGACAAAGTGCAAGCTGAGTGCCCTTGTGACTATCTTGGTGCTCATTAGTCGTCCGAATGACGAGTGCTGCTAACTTCATTTCTACCAATTTTTCTAAATTCCGATTCAGCCTGAGTGACACGTGTACATTCTATAATCAATAAAACTTTGCCGTCAATATCCGTCGTTAAATACAATTCAACGAAATGATCACGTCTACTCTGAATGACGATGGTATTTAAGCACTAATTTAGTTGGTAATACGCTGGGCACAACCTCGGCTCCGGCGTTCCCCGTTACTTATAGATCGACTCCTGCGCACTAACGAGGAGATTAAAACTATAGGTAAAACTATTAGGAAGGTTCATTTCCTATGACCCTATCAAAATGTTTATGACACTGAGGTGAGAGCAAAAGAAACCAAAAGCTACGCAGGCGTACCACCCTCCCAAAGGAATGTGACTGATGTGTGAGCTCAAAAATGGGGGAACTGACGAGTGCAACAGATTTGAACAATCAGCAAATAAATATGAAACTCAATGTAAGCGAATATATATGTTTGATAACTCTTCCTTAGTCTTCCTCGGAGACTGGAAACCAACACGTCGGGATGTCGCGACGGGCGTTTGGACAAATAGACAGCTCCATTTTTCGACAAATGCTGCGAGCGTATGTTTGTCACGCCCCATGTCGAATACGCAATTCAAGCCTGGCGTGCATGGTTAAAACACGAGCTTATAGCACTAGAGCAGCCTCAATGTCGGGCATTTAAGAATGTACTTGGAATGCGTAATCTTTCATATGAGCAGAGGCTGAAACGATTGGGAGTATTCAACGGATGGTATCGCAGATTACCAGGCGACCAGCTTGTGGAATGCTTGATACTGCGTGACCCACCTCATGTGTGACGCTCATTACTGCGACTCAGAAACAACACAAAACAGTGTAGCCGTTTGGAGTGCCTCAGAAATTTCTTTTCCACTAGTGTATGCCCCCGTAAAATGCTCTTCCAGCATCGGTCGTCTCTGTACTGACACTAACAGTGTTTAACAGACGGTTGAGTGACGCAGTCATCCACTTACATTTTTGTTACTTAACGCTACTCCTGGAGTGTACCTTGGATCTGTTTGTTGTCAACTGTGGGTCCGGTGAATCTAGGCGGATTGCAGAACTACAGCGAAGCAAACGATAAGCCTTCATTTCATATTTGAAGTATTATTTTATTGCTTTCTCATTCTTATTATTTCGACATCCCCACCAACCATCAAACGGGACTTGTAAAGCAGAGCTTCTTAACCCGCATAACTTCCTTGTTCATAGTACAGTTGTATTTTTATGTCATCTGCAAAGAGGTATGGGACATCAAGGCGTATAACTTCGAATATCTCATTTATGTACAACAAGAAAAGTAGTGGTCCGATGACACTGCTCTGAACTACTCCATGCTGCACGCGTCTAGTCATGGATATTTGACTACTGATAATAGCCACTCAACTTCGGTTTGAGGGGTACGACCTGAGGCAAGCTAGTAGCTGGCGGCCGATTCCAAAGGAAGTGAGAATATGTATCAACTTGTCGTGCGGTAATCGGTCGAATGCGTTCTGTATAAAGGACCACTGCTGACATCCCTCAACTTAGGGACAAAGTAAGTATGTTACGAATGACAATCAGCATGTCACTCAGGGACATGCTTTCCAGAATCCATGTTGAGAATCATTGATAAGGTCATGTGCCCGTAGGAAGTCCACTACTTTTGGGGCAATTAATCTTGCAATCATTCTGCAGAAGCTGGAAGTGTGGATAATGAGCCGGTGGTTCTCGATGTTATGTCTGGGCCCTACTTGACGACGTGGTAGAACTAAATCGCATCTGAGTGCACAACATTTTTCGTAAAACCTTCATCGTCCTGATTATTGGCTATAGTTGACCACTTGTAAATTGATTTAACACCGCTTTAACGACTCAGTAGTCCGTCAAATCAATGTAACTGCTATATTCTTCTAACAACCTAATGAAGAATTATCGAAACCATATATTCGCTGACATTGACTTGTGAATATCTTTGTGGGTTTCTTTAACATTTTGAAACGCAACTTAGACACACCTGTTTTAAAACCGCCCAACCGATATGCGAGCTACCGGATCAGGATTGCAAAGGCTAATATATGTCTCGGTTTTATTGAAGGCTGCGTAGAAAGCCATGTACAGAAGAAGGAGTCCATAGGGACCTTCAGAGTTCGAACACTTAACAGTCGCAAATTGGTTTACCATATCACGGGGTGAAAAGTCATCGGCAGATATCTGTGCAAAGGTTAGGGTGGGTCAGTGAGACGTGCAAATGTTGCTGGTTTACTTGAAGGATAAGCTAAAGTGACTATTCAGAACTTTGGCAATTAAGTCGGAGTCATGGTGACCTCTAGGACTGACACTCTCATCCCTGACAACCTTCCGTTAACAGCAAGGTGTAAACCTACTCGGGAGCATACCTGTCCCCATTAGGCGCATACTTCTAGCCCTGTGCTTACATCCATGCAGTCCCATTGGCTGATGTCCCAGGAGCAATGAAATCGTCACTAATAGCTCGTGTATGTAACCCCTCAACGGAGAATGAATTGATGCCCGCGTAAAATTAAATGCAAAACCGTTTATTTTGATTTTTGCAACACGTTAGCTCCTTAGCACTACGCGTGAAGTTGCCTGTAAAAAGGTAAAAGGGCTATCAAATAATGGTGTAGCATATCCAAAAATCCCTAACAATCTACTCTACCGTATGACGAAGGTCAGCTACAAGGCATGGCTGTGTCCAACAAAGTAAGCTGACTATATGAAAAGCCGACTAAAATTTCGACACTGGTTCTCCGCATCCGAGTGTCACTACTTTGAAAAACATTTCTAGCCCATGTATTATACACCGCATATTATCACAATGTAAGTCGTATCTGACAACTTGCCGGAATGTTTACCTTATTGGTGTAACCTGTACACATCGAATCATAGCAATTTTGTAGAATAAAGAATGAAATGCACCAGACACTTGCTAAAATCTATGCAGATGTAATTACATCTGTACTGCTGCAAAACTCTTTGTTAGTAAGTTGTTGGTTCATCAAGCTTAGCAAGTCTGATTCAGACGTTTCGTCCTCAGTTGTGGTGACGTCATAAGCACGGAGTTGGCTGCAGTTAGTCAAGGAAGTACTACAAACCAATTCAAAGTACAGAAACCAATAGTTACTGTGCCAGTCTTTACATAGATTATCTGCTATATTAGGTGCATTTTATTCTGACTGGATGTTTATCGATGTTCGCAATGGGACTGGACTGATTTTCATTCTGATGTGCGTGAGGTTTCATCGTGAATAGATAGTAGCAGTTTCATAGTCCTCCACTGATGTCCCAGTCCGGATGAAGGATCAACATATGACAATGGAACTACGAGTGTCTGCTCAAGTCAGGAATCTCATTCTTATAACTAATCAAGTACACTCAATTCCCATTGAGTATACCTAAACTGCAAACTGCAAATGAATGTCACCAAATACTTGAACATATTGGAAAGTAACGGCAATTCGAGTAATCATAAAAGCCAACTCTTCTGCGACATTGGATCACACTGTCTGATTCTTTAGCGAAACCCGACACTGCATGATTATGTCGTAGTACATATGCAAGCGACAAAACGGCAAAGGTAATGCTAGTTATCAATTCGGGAAATGTGACTTTGTTGCAACGGACTTTTGGGCGGTTCGAATAATTGCACCCATTAAATGCACCATTCTGACAGCAGCGGAGGTTCACTCACTTGCGTTTTATAAGGGGTATGCAATTTTTCAACCAGACTTACGCAATAAACTAGCAAATCTTCAAAGCTTTCCGAGATTCACTTTACTATAAATAAGTTCTCAAGCTGAGTCGAAGCAAACAGCGCTCACTCTTGATATGAAGGACGAAAACAGCAAGTGCGGGTAGGCGTTAGACATCTCTTAAATGCTCGCTGTATGATCCGGTTGAAAAATTTCTATGGCAATGCAAAGCGTGGTAATAAAGGACCAGAATTCGTTCGATAAAGCACAGCTTCATTTCCCTATCGCTGTCTTGCAAGTATATGAGCGTGTGTATGATGTAAAAATCAAATCAGCAATATAAGTTTTATGTGAGACGGCGAAAATGTCACAAACGAATGCCAAGATATTGTAATCCACTTGGTTCAGGCACTGCAATGTAGGACAAGAAATGTAGTCAGTTAGGAATATTAGAAAAAAAACGCTAGAATAAAGTAGCAGGCTATCCAGCCAATGGCACATTTTTCCAGTTGATGTGACACCCATATTATCAGCAATTGTATTCGAAATTGCACCTGTAAATTTTGCTAAGTAGTACGCAAATAACTAATAAACATAAATGTTTAACCCCAGCAATGCCAGACACACCGAGCAAGGTATTTAGCAGAGAAATAGGCCTAATTTGGAATACCGAACACAGGGTGATTTAAAAGTACATGGATAAAAAATTTTTATATACGGATAGAAGTGAAATGTACGTAGCATGAAGAAGCCCAAAGTTTTAAAGCACTCACAAGCATTTCAAATTACTTTAATTTATGTAAACGGTGACACCAAAAATTTGGTGCAAATGATGGTCACTTGTCTCTCAGATTTGAGGGAACTATTTTGCTTCAAATCATGTTCGAACTTTATGAATCGAACTGCAGCTGAAGCACGCGGATACGATTCATACAAATAATAACATGTCGTTTGTAACTGATGGTCCTTTACATCATGAGCAGGTGGGTAGCAATGCATTGATAAAGAAGAAGCGTCACCAAAATATCCAAACGGAAAGCGCAGCATGCTGAGACAGATAAGTGAAAAAATACCGTCATCCATGGAACCGTCTCCTTGGAATCAGTTTGCAGGCGGGGTAGTCAATATATGCGTTCCACCTGCACATCCACACCTATCTAAACGCGTGGATGATAGCAAGCAAGACACTGCCACCTTCACTTTTCATGCGGGAATGTTACCTTTTTAGGTAAGACACCCAAGACCGTTGGACATTTATATTTTATACACAGCCTGATATTTTATCCGTCAGGTGATCAAAGGCTAATCGAATTGAGCAGGTAACTATCTGACAGGGAAACGTCGAACACAAATCTCCGGATATCGGCCCAGTTTTGACACAAAACCATGTGGGAGCAATGACGAAACGTTGTTCACCCATTTTAGCAATTGTTTTTCCATGATCTACACATTCGACATCATCTTGCTGACACTAGACCTGCTTAAGTACTAGGATTAATTGAATAATGTATGGCCATGTTCATCTATAAAATGGAACAGATCGAATGGGCATATTTAATGGAAGCTTTCCACTCCGGGAAATTATATGTTTACCAACGGTACACGAATAAGAAATGTCATGACACTTACCAGAGATGAACAAGCAACCTGCGACAAATCGGCATGATAGATAAATGGTGGTTTGCAAGTTTATAGTAAAAGTCGCTTTCTGTTTTCTATAGTGCACATAAAAACTACTGATTATTGTGCCAATGTGCTTGCATAAAAATCGCAACTTGCAGAACTGTAAAATGCAACTCACGTAATAATTCACCAAGGCCACCTGAGAAGTAAATGCGGTGCCACGTAATCAGATGAGAAATAGTCAGACATAAGCAGCAAACCTGATTTGTGCATGGTATTCAGACACATTGATTCATATTGCTTCACAAAACATAGAATATGTGCTTGATATCCACATCAGCGAACACAATGCCAGGCATTGTGAGCCAAAGTTATAAGAATATAGTCCATTGATTTGTACACACAACAATCTTTGCTGCAATTTTGTCTAGTACTAAAGTCTGTTATAGTCATTCATGCACCAACAAGCTATGGGTAAC